CCCCACTGCCTGTCCATCACTGTCCCCATGGTCCCTGTTCCCCCATTGCCTGTCCATCACTGTCCCCATGGTCCCTGTTCCCCCACTGCCTATCCATCACTGTCCTCATGGTCCCTGTTCCCCCACTGCCTGTCCATCACTGTCCCCATGGTCCCTGTTCCCCCACTGCCTGTCCATCACTGTCCTCCCATCCTGGAAACTCTGACACTCCAGGGGGAGACTGTTGATGCTGAGGAAACCGATGCCAGATTTAGTCTGTGATGTTTTGTGCTGCAGTTGCACAAGATGGACACAGTCTTTAAACATTCAATTGAATTCAGACTTAAGTTGGAAGATGTGACTGACAGCAGCTAGCCCCTGGAATCTTGGCTTCCTGCTCTCATCCCTATTATTCAGCAAAGCATAGAGAACATATTAAGGCCTCTAGAGAGGGGATGCTGGCAGTCCTTTAGCTAGAAAGCAGGGTCTGAAGTATGGGACGTCTCAGAAGAAAAACCACACCTGGATATAAGCAAGTGTATGAACACCAAACCTCTCTATCCCATATCCAGCAGCTCTTCCCCTGAGAATGACTTTTTTTTTAAATTTTTCTCTGTTTTCTCCATTTTCTCCTGGTTGCTCCGGGTCCCCCGAGGTTTCGGCGCTTTGGTTTTGTTTGTGATTGCACAGCTCGCTGCGTCTTTGCCCCCCCCTTTACTAATCCACGGCATCTCTGTATATGTGCTGTCTTGCCCTTGAAAAAACGTCACACCCCCAAAAGGCTCATGGAGGCCGACGGGTCACACGTCTCTGTTGCATGTAGACGGCGCTGGTTTCATTTTGAAAGCGACCCAGAGATGTGGCAGGGCTGCGGGGAATGTGCCAGTGCGGCGTGTGGAGGGGAATTAACCATACGACTGCCCACATTTCTCCCTTTGGAGATTCTTCACAACTGTGTTGCACCTTCTGGTGACAGAAAGCAGAGGACCAACTAAACAATTTAGTGGTTTCCTGGGCAATAGCAACTTTTCCTGCTTAAAACGAAGCTTTTCTGCCTACCAGCACAAGGGTATAGGGCAGTGTTTCCCAACCCGGTTCTGGGGACCCCCAGACCAAGAATGTTTAGGGGCAAAAACATGGACTGTCTGCGTCTCCCTGAGGACCGGTTTGGGAAATGCTGGCACAGTATAAGATTCCACTCTTGGATTGCACAGCCTGTCCCTGGCCTCTGTTGTAAACCCCACACACGTATGCAACCACAATCCCCTTGACTGCACATCTGCTGCATGCAGTGAGTGGCAGACATATGGAGTCAGGTTTCTCCCTGCTTGCTTTGCATGGGACAGCATTGAAGGAGGTCCTGGCTCCGGGTTCTCAGTCTCTGCACAGATCTGTCGCTCTAACCAGCCTTTGCTGGATTTTTTCCAGAGTATGAATACATTTCACAAAATAGTTCTAGGTGCAGATTTTATTTTGTGTGACAGTGTGTTTTTAATGTATGTAATGTCATGAAAAATATTGGGGTTCCGTTTCTGAATAAACTTTGCTTTTTGTTAGTTTGCATTTTGTATTTACAACATCATACTGTCCAGAGACCCTATTTACGAGAGAACTATTTCAGTCTCTATTCCAACATTCACATAATCACACCGAGACTGA